GAAAGTTGTTTTTTCCTTCCGGGAGGGCCGTTTTAGCAGCCACGGTTTTAGCAGCCCTCGCCCAGCTTCCGACCCTGGGCGCGCCCGAAATGGCTCGAGGGGGCGCAAAAAGGGCAGGTGGCCAGACGGCCCAGGAGGGAGACCGCGAGGCATGCACGGCGGCGCGAGAGCCCGTGGAGATATTCCAACCTGGCCGGGAGGCCCCAAGGGTGTCACCAGAGGCTCCAAGAGAGCTCCAGTACACGGACATTATATTCGAACCCCGTGGTCCAAGATGCCCCCCAGAGCCCCCGAAATTAATATTGATGGCGTGGCGACGGGGGGGGCGTGAGTGGACAGAAATATTGGAACCCCAAAGCACCGCCTTTACTGAGATCAACATTGATGTCGGGGGCGCGGGGGTGATTTAGAATCTCCCTCGAATTTGTAAGGGTTCGAATATATTGTCCACGTGCGGTCCAAGAGGCGCGGGAACCAACACCTGCAACAACCATCAAAAACGATTGGTTTTTGACAGTCTGGGGCATCTCCGTGTCTTCAGCTAAGCATGACACTTCGGAGGGCTCCGAGACGGCCCCAGTGGGCTCCAGGGACAGGCCAGATGACCCCATGAAGGCCCCAAGAGGCTCCAAAGACTGCCCAGGACGGCCCCCACAGAGGCCACAAGCGGCGCCCGGAGGCGTCCAGGGGCCTCCTGTGCGAAGGTGTGCGTGAGTTGAAGCTAAAATGGCGGACAGCGGATGCCCAGTCCGCAGTCAGGGCCCCCAAGCCAGCCGAATGAGCAGGCCGCGAGGAGGACCCTAGGAGGGAGTGTGGCCCTAACACCGTGCCGACGGCCATCCTGGCAAGGGACAGGGCGGCTGCGGTGACGACGAACGCGAGCCCGCCGCGGCAAGCCGCAGCCCGTACTCTTACCGCTTCCCACGCCTCAGCAACTTGCAGCAACCTCTTCTACCTGTAACCTCACCTCAACCCCACCCGTTTGCCTGCTGCGCCTCGCCTCCTCTCACAGCGCCGCCGCCGCAACCCCCTCTCCTCTCTCCCTCTCGAGGTTGTTGAGATAACGATCGGTCCTTCTTCTCCTCCTCCTTCTTCTCCTTCTCCCTCTTCTTCTCCTCCTTCTCTCCTCCTTCTTCTCTCCTCTCCTCGTTCTTCTCCTCTTTCTCCCTCCCTTGTCCTGCTGTCGTTTACCATCCTTGCCGCGCACAGCTCATCTCACCAGCTGGCGACTCCTGGAGCGACTGCGCTCCAGGAGCCGCCCGGCCCTCAATCGTTGCTGCTTCGCCTCCCTCGAAGCCGCCACTCGATCCGCGCAGTCGGACTGAATGCAGGCCGAGGCATGGGCCCAGCTGCCCTACAAGAGGCAGCTACGAATGCCTGCAGCACCTGGGCTTCACGAGTGGAAGTTGCACCTGAAGCGCACCTCGTTGGGGCGCCGACAGGAGTCAATTCAGGGCACCCCTCGTGGGGGGCGCCGACAGCGGCCCATTCAAGGCAGTCAAGTCGCGGAAGAATGAAACGCGCTTTAGCACGCCTTCATTGTCGCTTGCAGACCGGCACCTCGCAGGGGCGCGGACAGCGGCTAATTCAAGGCAGTCGCCAATTAATGAAGCACGCTCTGGCACGCTTTCACTGTCGCGTGCAGATCTCTCCAGGAAGGCCAGAGCGAATGCACTCGCAGCTCGTGCCAGGTGGCCCGGAGCGACAGGTGCTCGCAGCTCGTGCCAACAGGGCCGGGACGAGTGCGCCCGCCACCCTTGCCAAGGACGCGGCGTGAACCGTGATCGGAGGACACCCTCCGATTCCAGGGGGGCAGCCGACCAGCCACGACTGGGGGAGCTGTGGTCCCTGTGGTCCTTCCCCCCCTGGGGGAACCCGTCGCATCGACGATCTCTCGAGAGGGGTGTCGAAATCGATGGGCCCCCCACTGGCCATCGCTCGGACGTCCATTCCCTGTGCTTTTTTTGATTTCGTGCGTGGCTTTTTCGCCACATGATCAAGGATGCTCCTCGATGGTCCTCGCCGAAGGAAAAATGCACACGTCCGAGCGATGCCAAGCCCAGGGGGGTAAGGACCACAGCTCCCCCAGTCGTGGCTGGCCTGGGCAGGGCCTCCTCCACGGCCGTTCCTCCACAGGTCCTGCGGTGGGGGGGCGGCGCGGGCCCCCCCCCCCTCAGCTCTCGGCGCAGCACGCGCTGTTGTCGACGGCGACGGGGGTGGACGTGATCGAGCTGTCGCCCCAGATCTCTCCGACGACGAAGCCTTGCGTGCTGGTCGTCTTGCACTTGTCCCCGCCGCCGCCGCCGACGACCCAGTTGCTGTTCGGCTCGATGGAGACGCCAGACTGGTCGATTGTCTGGCGGTGGGCGCCGTAGTAGGTGATGCCGTGAGTGGAGTTGTCACTGAGGGTCTCGAGAAACTTTGGGGCGGCTCTGAAATAGTCTGTAGGGTAGTGAGAGAAGACAACCAGCGACTTCTGGGTCGACTTCTTCGCGCGGTCGTAGAAGAGGTCCAGACTCCTCTGCGTACGATTCTTCATGTAGTCCAGGCGCTTGAAAGCGCATGCGGTCTTGAAGCAATCTTGGAACATGAGCTCGTCCGCTGAATTATCGTCCTCGAAGTGAGCTCCATTCTGGAAGTTGTTGAGGTCAAGCCCCACTAGCTCGATGCCCAGCTCCGGGTATTCATGGAAGTAGCTGGTGCCGGGCATCCGGAAGTACAGGAAGTCGTCCTTGTCGTAATTGGTCTGCGCGCACTTCTCGTCGTCTGGGGTGCACGCGCACGGGTCCTTGTGGTAGTCGTGGTCGCCATACACGCTGTACCAGGCGACACTGCGAAGCTGCACGCTGTACACCCAGCGCCACTTCAGGTCCCACTCCGGGTCCTTTTTGTCTTCGACGCCACTGGAGTAGAACGAGTCACCCAAGCTAATCACGAACTTCACATCCCCAAGCTCGGTCATCTTTCTGTCCATCGCAGCCGCGATGTTTTTCTGGCAATCCTGGGTGATGCCGCCGGAGTTCTTCTCGTCCCAGCCCCAGTCGCCGACGACGAGGAAGGAGCCCCGCCGGATCTTGGGGATCGTGGCGACGCCCGGGCTCATCGGCCCGAGCGCCTCGCACGTCCACGGCCTGTCCGCGCGGTCGTCCGGCTGCGGGCCTGGGACGCACTCTGGCCTGCAGGAGGCCCACCCGTTGCCCTTCGCGAAGCACCCGTGGCCGGGCTCGCTGCAGCACCTCGCAAAGGTGCAATTCTCGCCGCTGGAAACGCAGGCGCTGGCGGCCCACGCCGGCATCGGCAGGCCCGTCGTGTCGACCACTGGGATCTTCCCGGGCGTGCGGGGGCCGACCTCCTTGCAGCTCCAGGGCTCCGAGTCGGCGTCCTCGAAGTCCACGCCAGGCGTGCAGGACGGCTTGCACCAGCCAAGCGACTCGTGCTTGGCATAGCACTGCATGCCCCCGTCGCTGCAGCACCTCGTCTCGAGGCAGTTGGCGCCCTCCGGGGAGCAGCTCTCCTTCACCCACTCGGGAGCAGGCGCCAGCTCCCAGTCGACCAGCCGCGCCTCGCCCGCGGCGCGTGGCCCGAGCTGCTTGCACGTCCATGCGGAGTACTCCGCCTCCGCCATGTCGGGGCCGCCCACGCAGTCCGCCTTGCAGAGCGCCGCGGTCGCGTTCTTCTCGAAGCACGCGGTGCCCGCCGACAGGCAGCACTGCGCGCCCCTGCAGTCTTCGCCCGGGGCCGCGCAGGCCGCCGTTGTGGTGGTGGCGGTGCTCGGGGCGGCGGTGGTCGGGGCGACCGTGGTCGTGATGACGGCAGCGGGGGGGTCCGTGGCGGAAGCGCTGGCGACGGTGCTGGTGATGCTTCCTCCCTCGGCCGCGGGCCCGTCCTCGGAGGCGACCTCGGCCCCCGAGCCGTCGGCGGCCTCCGCCTCCGGGGCCCGGCTGGTGCTCTCCGCCTGCGGGCCGCCGCGCGTGCTGGGCTCCACCGGGGCCTCCAGGTTGCGGCCGTGGGCGAGGGGTCGCAGCAGCAGCGGGCCTTGGCCCTCCTGCACCTGGTTGTAGGCGACCAGGCCGGCTGAGACCACGAAGCACCCGAGCGCGGCCAGCAGCATGGGCGACCGGTAGAACGGGGTCTCCTCACGGAAACTTCGGCCCTGCGGCGGCTCCAGCAGGTGCGCCCTGGCCTCTGGGCTCGGGGAGCGCGCCGACATCCTTGTGCGGCGCGGGCACGGGTTCACACGGGGCCCGCCTCTGCAAGGCGGGCCCTTGAGCTAAAACGGCTACGGACGCCTGGCTCTCAATTTTATCCCCCCCCAGGGCGAACCAGCCCTGGGGGGGAGGGCAGCACCCGCAGGGACCTCATGCCATCAGGAACCAGTGACCAGGAGGAGGAGGAGGAGGAGGAGGAGGAGGAGGAGGAGGAGGAGGAGGAAGGAGGAGGAGGAGCAGGAAGGAGATGGAGCAGGAGGAGGAGGAGAGGAGGAGGAGGAGGAGGAGGAGGAGAAGGAGCAGGAGGAGGAGGAGCATGAGGAGGAGCAGGAGGAGGAGGAGGAGGAGGAGGAGGAGGAGGAGGAGCCCAGCGTAGGAGGAGCCCAGCGTAGGAGGAGGAGGAGGAGGAGGAGGCGGAGGAGGAGGAGAAGGAGGAGGGAAGAGGAGGGGGAGAGCCTGGTGGGGGGCCAAGGTTGGGCTGGGGGCGGCGCCCCTGGCCCGGCTCAGGTACGGCTCGGCCATGTCCGGCTCGTGCCCGATCGCCAGCAGCAGCTCGGCGGCCCTCAGGTTTGCCTCTGCGCCGCCGCCGCCGAGGTGCGGAGATCGGGGATCTCGGCTTTTCGGGAGACGCTTCGGGCCTCCTGGGGCGCTCGCGTGACCACGGCTGGATTCCCCTCGAGACTCTGGTCCGGACGGTCACCGGCAGTCTTGAGCGGACTTTGGCCCGGACCTCTGGCGTCACAGAAAAAATCGCGACGACCGGCTTTTCCAAATCAGGGCCTCTGGAGGGCTGTTTCGGGCTCTGGGTGTTCGATGAAAGGCCCCCGTGGAGGGAGACCTTTTGACAGTATCGGAGAGCCAACTGAGACAGGTACGGAGAAGAAAAACAGCCCAAACATCGGATGCCACGATTCATTCAAATGAGAACCATCTTTCGCATGGACTCCGAGCCGTGCTATTTACTGTTTTTGTGTGCCATTCTGATGTTCGCGGGGCAAGCAGAGCCTGGAGCAACGCCCGATCACCACCCCTGCAGTGGAGCGCTGCTTGGGAGACAGTGTGTGTTTCTTTGTATTGTGTGTGTGTGTGTTGCGTTGTGTGTCGGTGTTTGGTGTGTGTGTGTGTGTTTGTGTTGTGTTGTGTTGTGCTGTGTTGTGTTGTGTCGTGTCGTGTTGTGTTTGGTGTGTACTGTGTTGTGTTGTGTTGTGCTGTGTTGTGTTGTGCAGTGTGTGGTTGGTGTGTGTGTGTGTGTTTGTGCTGTGTTGTGCTGTGTTGTGTTGTGTATGTTTGGTGTGTGTGTGTCTGTGTTGTGTGTTTGTATTGGGTTGTGTTGGTGTGTGTGTGTGTGCGAGTTGTGTTGTGTGTGTTTGGTGTGTGTGTGCTTGTTTTTGTGTAGTGTTGCGTTGTGTATTGTTGTGGTCGTGTTCGGGGTGTGGGCGTGTGTGTGTATGTGTGTAAGTGTGCTGTGTTGTGCTGTGTTGTGTTGTGTGTGTGTTTGTGTTGCGTGTGTGCTTGTGGTGTGTTGTATTGTGTTGTGTCGTGTTGTGTTGTGTTGTGTGTGTGCTTGGTGTGTGTTTGTTTGTGTAGTGTTGTGTTGTGTGTGTTGTGTTGTGTTGTGTTGTGTTTTGTTGTGTTGTGCGCGTGTTGTGTGTTTGTTTTGGATTGTAATGTGTTGTGTTGTCTTGTCTTGTGTGTGGTTGGTGTGTGTGTTTGTGTTGTGTTGTCTTGTATTGTGTTGTGTTGTGTGTGTTTGGGGAATGTGTGTAAGTGTGTTGTGCTGTGGTGTGTTGTGTTGTGTGTGTGTGTTTGGTGTGTGTGTGTGTGTTTGTGTTGTGTTGTGTTGTGTTGTGTTGTGTTGTGTTGTGTGTGTTTGGTGTGTGTGTGTGTGTTTGTGTTGTGCTGTCTTTGGGGAATGTGTGTGTGCTTGTGTTCTGTTGTGCTGAGTGCTGTGCTGTGATGTGTGTGCGTGTTTGCGGTGTGTGTGTGTGTGTTTGTTTGTGCTGTGTTGCATTACGTTGTGTTGTGCGTGTTTGGTGTGTGTGTGTGTTTTTGTGTTGTGCTGTGTTTTGTTGCGTGGTGTTGTGTTGTGTTTGGTGTGGGTGCTTGTGTTGTGTTGTGGTGTGTTGTGTGTGGTTGGTGCGTGTGTGTGTGTGTGTTGAGTGTGTGAGTGTGTTGTGATCGTGTTGTGATGTGTGCGTGTGTCTGGGTGTGTGTTTGTGTTGGGTTGTGTTGTGTTGTGCTGTGTTGTGGGTTTGGTTGGTGTGTGTGTGTGTGCTGTTGTTTGGTGTGTTGTGTGTGTTTGGTGTGTGTGTGTGTGTTTGTATTGTGTTGTGGTATGGTGTGTTGTGTTGTGTTGCGTTGTGTGTGTTTGTGTTGGGTTGTGTGTTGTTGTGGAATGTGTGTGTGTTTTTGTGTGTGTGTGTTGTGTTGTGTTGTGGTGTGCTGTGTTGTGCGTGTGTGTTTGGCGTGTGTGCGTGTTTGGGTTGTGTTGTGTTGTGTTGAGTGTGTGGTTGGTGTGTGTGCTGTGTTGTGTTGTGTAGTGTGTGGCTTGTGTGTGAGTATGCGTTGTTTTGTGTTGTTGTGTTGTGTGTGTGTTTGGTGTGTGTGTGTGTGTTTGTCGGTATTGTGCTGTGCTGTGTTGTGTGTTCGGGGTGTATGTGTGTGTGCTTGTGTTGTGTTGTGTGTGGTGTGTGTGTGTGTGTTTGTGGTGTGCTGTGTTTAATTGAGTTGTATGTAGTGTGTGTGTGTGTGTTTGGTGTGTGCGTGCTTGTGTTGTATTGTGGTGTGTTGTGTTGTGTTGCGTTGTGTGAAGGTGGTTGTGTTTTGTTGGGTTGTGTTGTGTTGAGTGTGTTTGTGTTGTGTTGTGTTGTGTTGTGTGTGTTTTGGATGTGTGTGTGCTGTTGTGTTGTGTTGTGTTGTGGTGTGTGTTATGGCATGTTGTGTGGTTGGTGTGTTTGTGCTTGTGTTGTGTTGTGTTGTGGGTGTGCTTGGTGTGTGTGTGTGTTTGCGTTGTGTTGCGTTGTTTTGTTTGTTGTGTGTTAGGTGTGTGTGTGTGTGTGTTCGTGCTGTGTTGTGGTGGGCCACCTCTAGGAGGCGAATTTGAAATCATGTTCGGTTCGATCTCTGAAAAGGCCCCGTGAGGCGGGTCCCGAAGCGGAACAGGAATGCCAGGCGTGAGTCCTCCGCGACGGATCCGAGGGAAGATGCCCAGACATCGGACGATGTGATATATCAACTCCTCGGCCCAAGACTTCAGATCCTTGCCCTGGGGGCGTGTCCCGTCCAAAGATCCACGTCAGATGTCCTGGGGCCCGAAAGCGGCTTCTGGAAGCCAGACTTGCGGAGGAACAGAAAACAAACGCTGGGACTTAGCAAAAAAAACATGATGCGGATGTCTGGCCCCAAAAATTCAACATCGACCGCTGGACCTGTCCTGGGATGCGCTCTGACATGAACCTGGAGGCGGACCCAGCCGTGGCGAGGAGAAGCTTCCTCGGGCCGCCACAAAAAAGGGCCACGGTCGGGAACTTGTGCCTTGGGTTTCGCGGCGTCGGCCCAGGCGACACGCCATGCATTGCAAGCGGCTAGCGCGTCGCTCCGCTCCACGGGGCGGGAGGCGGGGAAAAGCTCGAGACGTCGACGCTCGGGAGCCAGGCCGTGGACAGCGTGTCGCGCTGAAGCGCCGTGGGCCTGGACCGGCGGCGCGACATGCTGAGCCAACGTTCCCGAAGAGGAAAAGCCTGGGGTTCTCGAGTCTCGAGGATCGGTGCCCAGGCCCCCGCGGAGCGAGCGTCCTCAGGGTCGTCGGGCCGGATGCTCAGGAGCCTCTTGGCGGCGTCCAGTGCCGCGTCGAGATTCCCGAGGTCGTGCTGGCAGTCCGCGACGCCTCGGGCGGGGGAGGGTTCTGTCGAGCCGCGGGGCGACAAGCAGTTCCATCCATCAGAAACGTAAGGAGGGTTGGAGACCCTGGAGGCGAGCCGAGCCCCAGGGCGACCCAGAGAGGCGCGGGGGTGAGGAGGGAAAGAAGAAAGGAATAGGATGATGCTGCGGGAGGGGGAGGATGAGGAGGGGGAGGAAGAGGAGGAGGAAGAGCAGAAGGAGGAGGAAGAGGAGGAGGAAGAAGGGGAGGAGGGAGAAGAGGAGCAGGGAGAAGGGGCTGACGCCGGGGGCACGTGGGCCTTCCATCCCCTGGATGGGGTAGCTCGGAGAACGGAGACGTGGAATAGATCCGGACCTCCGAAGCCATCGCTGGGGACTTCTTGCCGCCTCGACATGCGGGCGAAGACGAAGGGAGCACGGTCGTCTTGCTGTCATCAGGGTGGATGCGCAAGGAATAAGATTTCTTGGGGCCACTGCGAGCTTCGGCCACGAAGGTGCTCTCCTGCCTGGGTCCGAGGAGCGGCCCGAAAACCAGTGGACGAGCGCGTTCCAGCACTCGCAGAGTGACTGCTCGCAGATGGCCCGGACCCGCCGGGGGGGCTCTAGGAGAGGCTGCATCGAAGCAGACGTGTGCTTTTCGGACGCTTGCGAGCGGGCACTTTGCGAGCAGTGGAGCGCGCCCGGTGGACCCGAACCCCTCCGCAGCCCGAAGCACAGCTCCATTCCGCATCTCGGCCGCACGCGCAGCCCCTGGACTTCTCTTCGCGCCGTGCCTGGCCGGCACGGTCCACAAGCAGTGATCCGAACATGCCATCCCTCCCTTGAAGGGGGGGGGGTCCGGACCCCCCCCTTCAAGGGAGGGGGGGGGGGGGGTTCGGGACCCCCCCCCCCCCCTTAAGGGGGGGAGGGGGTGGGGGAGGTTCCGGACCCCCCCCCCTTGAAGGGGGGGAGGGGGAGGGGTTCTGGACCCCCCCCCCTTAGTGTATTCAGGGAGATCCACTGGCGCACTTTCCCGAACATGCCATCCCTCACGACAAAATTGACTACCTACCAGACCACCCCAACCCAACCCGAAAACCCGAATTGGACCCAAATTTCGGGTTGGGGGGGGTACGGGTTCCATGTGTTTTTGTCGATGTTCCCCGGCCCCCCCCCCACTGGAAATGGAGGGCAAACTGAAGCCTTCGGGTTGGGTTGGGGTGGTTTGGTGGGTGGTGAAAAATCCGAGTCCAGCTTTCTAACGAGCTTCCACCAGCGATTTCTTCGTGATATGTGCGAGACCGTTGACTCGCCACTCTGGCGTGACATCGGCCGGCACGGTCTCTACCCGATCTGGGGCAGGACTGCAAATTCTTGGGCATCGATGGGGAAGAGTGATGAGGGAATCGTGCTCATCAGCTGGTTACCGAGATCCATGGCCATATCGAACGCATCGCGTCTGAGGCCCTCTACAACTTTGTTGACGGCTGCGGTGACGGCGTGCTGGTTGGGTTTTCCCGTCTTGGAGTCTACAGAAGCCACGGCGGCGCTCATGCGCATCTCCGTGCGGAATTCCCACTCATGGAAGTGATTCGCCGTACCATCGTAGATGTAGGCGCCACTCGTCGTCCCCGAACGTGTCAACGCGTCAGCGCTAGCCCAGTAGCGAAGAGAAGAAAATGACATGGCGGGAGAGCTAATCCCCCCCTCGTGAGAGTGACTACTCGCGTTGGGGGTGGGAGGGGCGCTCTCTCTGAACGAGATGAGCCACGCAGTGGCTATGATACGGGATCGTGCCGCAGCTCCCCTGCCAGTGTGATTATGATGCTTCTTCAACCCTAAGTAGAAGGGGCCCCGAGGAGCCAGCATGCGCAATACTGAATGTTGTTGCTTACGAAAGCCTGACAGCATCTGACAGCGAGTGGCGGCAGTAC